ACATAAAGTCCAGTATGAGTTGAAGCTTGCAAGAATTATTCAGATTCTCGTGTTGATCAGTAGTCAATCAGTCAGTAACCAATCAATAAACATTTATTAAGTGCCTACTGTGTACCAAGCACAGAAGGAGGCAAAGACAATCCCAGTCCTCAAGGAGTTTACAATCTAAGGGGGGAGACAACATGTAATAAATGTATACAAAACAAGCTATCTACATGATAAATAGCAAAGAATTAAGAGAAGGAAGGCACTAAAATTAAGAGGGATTGGGAAAGGCTGGAGAATCTGCCCCACGAGTAGCCCCAGGGCTGTTAGGTGGCACAGTGGATAGAATGCCTGGCCCTGGAGCAGGAGGGCCTGAGTTCAAATCCAGCTTCAGACTCTTATTAGGCATGTGACCCTAGGCAAGTCACTTTACCTCATTTGCTTCAGTTTCCCCATCTATAAAATTAGCTAGAGAAGGAAGTGGCAAACCACTCCAGTATCTTAGCCAAGAAAACCCCAAATGGGGTTATGAAAAGTCAGACATACCTAATTGAATAAACAAGTGAATAGCTCTTGCACTTCTGGCCTAGGAGAGATAGGGAGACCAGTATTTAAAGAAAAAAACAAATTAATGCTCTCACTAAGGATTAAATGTGCTACCCATGTCCTGAATGAGAGATGAGGGACTCTGAGTACAGAGTATGTATGTACATATGTATGTATACACACATATATGCACACACATACATACCCACACATACATACAACATGGCAAGGCTAGAATTTGTTTTGCCTGACTATGCATATTTATTACAAGGGTTTTCTTTACTTTCTTTTTCAGTGGGAGGAGGGGAGTCATGAGAGAGGGAGAGAAAATAGACTTTTAATGGAAAAAATTTAATGGAAAAAAATTAAATTATATTCAAGGAATTAATGATCAACAAAAGTGAAATGTGCTGCCCTAATGGGTAATGATATCATTGGAAATCTTCTAGGAGAGGCTGTATGAAACCTGGTCAGGAATGCTGTGAATGAAGGGGGTTTCATGCTTGAAGCAGGGACTACATGACATCTAAGGTCCCTTCTAGCCCGAAGGTTCTATGACTCACTGAAATTACAGTCAAAACTACTGTAGTTTTCAGCGAGTTTTAAAAAAATTGTGCTTAATCTCTTACAACTTTCTTTCTTTCCTTCTCCTCTTTTCTTTAAAGCTGAAATTTATTGGTGTTATCTGGCTATTTGAAAACAACAGCCACCACCAGATTTTCTAAAAACAGAAGTCAAGTACCCCAAAGGGCAAGGAGAAAAAAAATTAGCAGTGAGTCTTTGTTGTTTTTACTCTCAGATGAAAAAGCAGCATACATGAGTATTAGATGGTCCTAATGAATCAAGGAAGTTTCTCATTTCAGCTGAAATGCTAGTTCTTGCTTTGTCAGAGTCCTGATTTTCACAGGAATTCTGTGAATTCACAAATTTGTTCACTTTTGTCTTGGACATTTCAAACTTCAAATTGGAATAATGAAGCTTTCAAAAAAACAGTCTAGAACAGATTCATAAATCGTACCCCTTAAAATATATTCCCTCATTCTGTCACTTTCATGTCTCCTTTATTCTTCCTTTTTTTTTCTTCCTTCTATTTGTTCCTCATATTTCCTTTTTCTACTCTCCTTTTCTTCTGGCCTCTCGTCTCTTTTTCTCTTCAGGACACCCATCCCTTTCACCCAACATTTTCCCCTTCTCTTCATTCCTCCTTTACTACTTTTTTTCTTGTTTCTCATTCCTTATTGAGTATCTCATGTGCCTCCCTCACAGTTTTCTCCTCTATAAAATATTCTTAAAGGTTAGTAGGTGAATGAGGCAGGGTAGGGAGAGAACTTTTCAGACTCCCTGTTCTTCCCTTAAGGTTCGGTGCCAGATGGCAGCAGTATTCGTGCTCAAATGAAATGTCCTGTTCTCTCTCCCTTTCACAAATAATAAAAGGTAAAGATATATATATATATATCAATATATATCTATAGATATCTATAGATATCTATAGATATATATATCAGCCAAGTACTTAAGGAAATAGAAAAACAGGCTTCCAAAGATATAGCACCACTCTTTCTGCCTTGTGAGAGAAACTACTGGGTTTTATTCAATTCAGTAAGCATTTATCATGAATCAAAAAGGGTGTGCAGTGCAGGAGCCAGCTCCCGTTTATTGTTAAACTTTCCATGTGAGCATTTGTATTCAGGGAATCACCAAATGGTTCTAATCGAATCAGGGCTTTATTTGTTGTTTTGATTATTTAGACTTTAGAGAGTGATGGAGAAAATGTTAATAATGCAGGTTAAATTTAGAAATGTATCCTGGGTACCTTTTTTTGGGGGGGGAGGGGGAGCTAGTTGTTAAAATATTTACCAGTATACTGCTGGACCTACATACAGAGCACTGTGCTAGATTCAGGGTTACAAGGGCAAAAATGAAAACCTACTCTTAAAGAGTTTACAATCTTATTAAGCGATGTAAACAGTTAAGCACAGCATAATATGAAAACCAGACAAACATCAACAGCTAAGGGCTCTGGAAGGCCTTTTGGAAGGGAGCACTTAAGCCCTGAAGCCAGAGATAGTAACTTAGGGTCTGCAAACTTATCTTTTTTATATTTTAATAAATGTATTTCAGTATAATCGGTTTCCTTTGTAATGTTATGTGTTTTAAGTATTTAGAAGCTTTATTCTGATCAGGGGAACAAAGACTTCAATAGACATAGGGGCAGCTGTCTGGTACAATGAATGGAGCCCTGGACTTGGGAGTCAGGAGGACTGAAGTCTAAATCTGGCCTCAGACACTTACTGGCTACATGACCCTGGGCAAATCACTTAACTTGTGTCTGCTTCAGTTTACTCGTCTTTAAAATGGGATTAAAAACTAGCACCTGCTTCCTAGGATTGTTGTGAGGATAAAAATGAGATATGACATATAGTAGGTGCTTAATAAATGCTTATTAACAGACTGCTAAAGGAGGCCATGACACAAACAAAAGGTTAAGAATCTCTACTTTAAAGGATGGCAAGAACTCCAAGAGAAGGTTTAAGAAAGAGCAAATCCAGGCAAAGGAGACAGCAAAAGGCCCAGAGACAGAAGATAGAATTCTGATTTCTTAGCTCTGGAAACAGCAAATACATCCATGAGTTTGGCTGGGACAGTACATGAAGGAGAGTAACTATGAATTATGGCAATTATTAGCTAGCATTTACTAAAGCACCTGCCAACAGCCAGAAACTGTACTAAGTATGGAGATACAATGGAGAAAATCTTAGTTCTGTCAAGCAGTTCTATCACTACCAAAGTGCTATAAGGAAAATTTGACAGGTTAAAAGAATCAAGAGTGAATGAAACAACCTCTAAGTCAGAGAGCTTATTTTGGGGTAGGAATGATGGAAGTCAGAATACAGTATAAATACAAAGAGGCTCATTTTACTTTCATCATTTTATTGTCATAATTAATCTGAATAAAAGCAATCAAGTCCACAGTTTGATATGAGTCTTGGTATAAAATTCCCTGAGACAATCCAAGAATTGCATGTACTTTATTTACCCTACTCATTACCAAGGAAACATGTCATTTTCTTGATCATTTAAAAAGATGTCAAATACTTTTTAAAAAAATTAAATCATATTTACCCAGGGCCTGATTTCTAAAACTGATTTGGTGTCACTGCTGTTACATAATAACTGGTACCTCATCCACAGGCAAGAAGGAACTGAGGGAATTCACTTGGGGATCTGGAGAAAGAACATTTGCATTCAAAGATAGGAGAATTCTAGACCAAGTAAGTAAGGATCCAGGAAGTGGATTCTGGAAAGCTGAAATACATACAGCTTAGCTTAGTCTAACTGAGCCATATTATCTAGCTTAAGTTGCTAAACATCACAGGCCTGCCTCTGGGACAAGATTTGGTGGAGGGTGGCTGGGGTAGCAGAGGAGGGCAGTCACATAGAAGATGACTACGACAGAGCCTTGTGACTATGCCTACTAGGCTGGGAAGAACCATACTGACCTATTCCCATTAGCTTTCCCATTATCCTCCCACCATCCTTTTAAAATACTGAAAGAAAGTAGATGTATTATTTTGGAGCATGGAGGGAAAGAAAAGTGCTGTATTCTCTCTGTGAAATAGGATTTGAAGAATCCAGTAAAAAAAAAAGGGGGGGGATATTGGGTAGTGAGTTCCTATAAATGAAGTAGCAGCTAGGCTAACAGATGCCTAGACATAGGAATTAAGTAAGGCCCTAACAACTCACTACTAGACAATGCCCTGGGAGAAAAAAAGATTAAAATACAATACAATCAGCTTGATTTTGCCACCGTTTTCCTGCTATAAGCCTCAATCCAGGTGTAAGTAGTACTTATTGTCACCAAGTAAGAATACATATTTTAAATATATTCCCAAAATTATATTTGTAAGAGTTATATTGAGCAAAAGATTGCATAGGCCATTTCTAACTATGAAAACAAGAGACTTTCATCACATAATACTAGATTTATAAATGATGTTTCAACTTTGCCCACTTCAACGTGGCATATGAAAGTGAAATGATAAAATGGTCAGCTATGATTTAATCTATTTGTACTTAGAGGAAAAGAAAATAAGAATTCCAAGCCCATTTTGTTTTTCAAGTATTTTAAACATGTAAGAAAACTATTACAAAGAAAACCACTAAGGCCTTTATATTCTTTAATAATAGTGTCAGTTATTACTGTCTTGTGTAAATGAGTGATCAATTCCACATAAATGAAAGGGTGGCCGCAGTGTAACAGCAGAGAAGTCACCGAGACTTTGTAGTTTAAACTCACAGAAGCTTTGTCAAAAATGTTTCAACACAAGGGTTTGGCTTTGGGACATTCTAGGTCCCCTCATCAGAAAAAGAGCCTAGGGGCAGCTAGGTGGTGCAGTGGACAGAGCTCTGGCCTTGGAGTCAGGAGGACCTGAGTTCAAATTCAGCCTCAGACACTTAACACTAGTTGTGTGACCCTGGGCAAGTCACTTAACCCCACTGCCTTACCAAAATGCCAAAAAAGAAAAAGAAAAAGAGCCTAGACACTTTTAAAACTGCCTTTTATTCATTCAGATGACTGTTTAATCTGTAAGAGAACTTGGTTTTCCTGTTCGGTGTAGACTACATTACCAAAGTCCCATAAACAATCACTTTTAAGAATAAACTTTCCTTCCTTTAAAACCCATGTTTTAAAATACTTTAGAGAACATTTTATCCCCAGATCGTATTTTTTCAAAATTAATATCCTTATTTGGTTAAAAAAAAAAAAGAGGGTGCTAGTAGTGGAAACAAGGCACTTAAAAATGAAGTCAACTAACAAATCTGTAACAAATTCAAATAGAGCCAAATCTTCCTGTCTTATGATTTAGCTAGGGACTATTGTACTTGTGTAGTCTATGAAGTACTCAGAATAATGAACTGTGGTATATACATTTCAAAAACTGGATTTTGCTATATGATGGCATTAGTATGGAGTAGAATTTGAGGTAAATTCAATTAATCTTGGACCCCCCAAGCCATTAGTGAAAGAAACAAAAAGACAGTTACAGAAGGAAGACTGGAAATCAGTTGTTTTGTATCTACTGATAAATAGCAAGACTTCGAAATCTGCTTTGGCTGATGTGCACTAATTTTAGTTGAAGTGCACTGCTTTCTTTAAGGTTTACATAAAGTATAAGTTCCAAGAGGGCAGGAGTCCTTATACATCTTTATATTTCTCTCACCCATAACTTTCCTACATAGAGTATGAATGAATGTTAGTTCTTTTAGAAATTCTTAAACTGAATATAGGTGTTTAATAATAAAGTGAGTTCCTATGACAAAGGCTCAAAGAGTAGTATTATTAGTAGGTCAGGGTACATTTTTAAAACAGAAAATAAATGCAAACCCACTTACTAACTAGAAGACACAAGATCTTGTTCCAGTAAAGGGTTTAGCAGCAAAACTGGAGTAGTAAATGACTGTAGGCACCAAGTAATCCTGGGTAAATTAACTTTTTCCAAACAAACACATGGGAGAACTACACACTTGGGTAATTTACAAATAACATACAAAAATAAAAAAAAAATTTTAATTTAACAAACAATAAAATCTTTTCCCCCTTTTCTACATAATTTCTTAATTCCCCACAATCAAATGGGATCATATGTAAAGCACTTTGCAAATGCTAAAGTGCTATATAAATGCTAGTATGATGAAGCTTTGTGGGTGAAGCAATCTTTAAGAAAGACATAGCAAGCCCCACAGGAAGAATGAAATTCTAAAATTTAAATATACTAAAACACGAAATAAATATTTATGGAGAGACTGCCAACAAGGTTTTCTTCTCTTTCCTTCTGATGAATATTTCTGCATAAGAACTTTTGTAAACGGTTACTTGGGGGAAGAGGGAAACAGGCTTGTTTCACTACTTTTCCTCAAGTCTGCTTTCAGAAAATTAAATATACAGGAAAAAAATTCTGTATTCACAAGATATCTCAGGTCATTTTTCGCATTGTAAAGGGATATTCACCACAGAGTTCTTTTAGTGCACACTTATGAATTAGTTCACACATAACTTTTACTATATTTTTTCCCTACTCTCCTCCCTCTCTTCTAGTTTCCCTCTATTTAGAGGACAGGACACAATAGCTGATGGCTAAATCACTAATAGCTTCTTCAGGAAGGTCATCTTGACTTTCAGGAAGCATGACTCAGAATTGGAAGGAACCTCAGGAGTTCAAACCATGCCTGAACCCAAATCCTCTTTGCAATGGAACCATTCAACCTTGGTTTGAAGACCTCCTGGAAGGGAGAACTCACCAGTCCATCAGAGGTGGCCTGTTTCCACTGTTATACAGCTCTAATTTTCACTGTTAGGCATTTTCCCATAGATCAAGTTTAAGTTTGTCTTGGTAACTTCTACCCACAGCTCCTTGCTCTATCCTGTGGGGTCACTAAGAACAAGTTTAATCCCTCTACCAGATAAACTCTTCAAATACTTAAATTAACTGTCAAGTTCCTCTTAAGACATCTCCCGTCCATAATAAACATTCTCAGTTTCTTCAACAATACTCATAGGACATGAAATGAAGGAGCTTCACTATTCAGCTAGAAGCTTTAAGGCACCTAATGAAGATGTGGCTTTCCATTGTAATAAGGCACTTTGTGACCACTTTTAACTTGCCCCAAGTTAAAAGAGGAGCTGCTGAGGGGTCAGTGAGCTAGCTGCATTGCTTAACCTATACAGATCACATACAGTCAATTTGGGCTACTGGCAAGACACAAGTTTCTCCTTACCCTTACACGTTTTAAAAGAGCTCAACCGCTCCACTCTAAAACACCAGTGTGGAAGCTGGGCAGCAAGTACCTGATCTGAGAACTTCAGAGTCTTCCTGTTATAAACAGTACCGTTTGCAGAAGATTGTTAACCCATGTAATACCCTCTGCAGAATACCCCGGACCCTGGCCTAGTGAAGTCTCATCTCCGAAACCAGGCAGCTAAGTTGTTAATTTTCTTATGTTGGTCTCCAGCAATCTGTAAAGCCTGGCAGGCCCGACACCAGGGCTCGTCCCAGAAGGACAAGACGTGCACAGCATAACGCCGGCGCCAGTCAAAATAGCGCTTGTACTGGTTCTGGTTTCGATCCAGGAAGCGAAGGTAAGAGGCCAGAGCAGCAACATTAGGAAAGTCGTCCACGTGGATGAAGGCATTTCGAGGCACAAAGCGCTCATAGTTGGCCCGGCTGGGCCCCAGCACCACTGGCACCGCCCCAGCCAGAAAGGCATTTCGCCACAGTTTCTCCGTGATGTAGTCCAGGTGCTGGGAGTTCTCGAAAGCCAGGTAAAATTTGTAGCGGCCCACCGTGTGCAGAAGCCCAGAGTCCGGCACTGGCTGTCCAGGACCACCTTTGCCATACACGTCCACCTTCAGGTATTGGCGCAGCTTGTGGTAGTATCTGACCCGAGCCTGGCTCTCACTCCAGTGGCTGACCACCCAGGCCACCAACCGCTGTTTTTGGGCCAGCGATGGGTACAGCCCAGAAGGCTGGTCCTGCGGGCTGCTCCTAGGGTATAGATACCCGTAGGGCACAAAGATATCTGAGTCGGCCCGGTAGGACAGCGTCCAGTTGAAGAGGCTGCTGTCGAAACTCCCTAGTCTTATGGAGTTTGAAGGGGACTCGAAGTTCATCCACACCCAGCGCTGTCCAGGGGGCCTGGTCAGGTGGCCGTATACTGCTTGAGGTGCTGTTGTGTTCAGCTTCAACTTGTCTCCACGCTCAATCCGTGGCGGGGGCCAGTCCTGGGACCGCACAAGGTCCCAGTGGTGGAAGAGAACTGCCTGGGCTTCCCAATAGCGTATCCTGTCAGTTACCAGGCGGCAGCCGCTCAGGTTAAATAGGAGCTGGCAGTTTGGGCCTGGACTGTGGGATCTGTACTTTGAGAAGAAAGGCTTCCACCACATCAGGACGGTGACCTGGTGTGGCGGGGCTGGTGGCCGCAGGTATGCCCAGGGCAGCGGAGGCAGCTGGATCAAGGAGAAGTAGACGGCCAGCGCCGAGAACGTCAGGAACCAGGCTATGATCAGAAGCCAGGCTCTCCTCGACAGCCCCACGCCCCCGCGCCAGCCCTGCGGCGGGCCTTTCCACGGCACACACATGGGCGGAGGAGGCTGAGCTCGGGCTGCTGCAGCTGCTGCGCGCCCCAGGTCCAAAGACTGAGAGGATGCGTAGCGGCTTTCATACTGCTGCAGCTCTGCCCGCCGCCGGGCTCTCCGTGGCAACTCACCCTCGAGGGCTTGACTGGCCTGTGGTGGGAGGGGACAATGTTCGGATTCCAGGCACCACACCCCCGGCTCTCCACCTCCAGGGCCTCTAGCTAGGGAGAGGTGAGCTTCCCTCCCAACGCTGGCTCCGCCCCGAAGCTTCCCTGAGGGACTCCGAGCTCTCCACATGCTGCCCGCCCAACCTCAGGAGAGTTCCCCCTTTCGTGTTCCTCCTCGGCCTTCCCCAGCCCCCTTTCCTTACGTCTCGGACACGTTCCTTCCTCTCCCCCTCCCCCTACCCTTTCTCCAGCCACTATGTAGAGTATGGCTTCTCTTCCACCTCCAGCTCTTCCCAGCTGGACTTTCCGTCTTTTCTTCCGGGAGCTCCTCCCCTATAGCCCTTGATTCCCTCCTGATGTTGCCCAGCTGCTATCTCGCCTTGGTCGGTCCCGCATCTCTAGAGGGTAGGGGAGGATCGCTCCAGATTTGGTCCTGGGTAAAGCCTGGAGAGATAGGAAATCCAAAAAGCCTTAGACGTGAGAAAATGCTAGCCTAGGGCTGCCAGGGGGAAGGAGGGACTGTGTCCTCAAAGTCAAGGAACTTTTACACTTCCTTCCGTTTAGCTCCTGTCAGAGTCGACACTATAGGGAAAAAAAAAAGGACCACAAGGGGAAGATCTGTGTGCCGAAAGGACATGGGGTGTGTGTGGGTGTGTGTGGGAGGTTCTCCTTGTCCACGTAGCACCAAGAGACGCGCTAAAGGAAGTCGGTAGAGCTGCTGCCTAGAATTATAGCTATGAATGGGGCTGCTTTCTAACTAGGCCACTTTGCAGAATCCCTACAGACCCAAGCAACTGTGAAGAGGACAGAGAGAACAGACTTGTAGAACTGCCAAGAGAAAAATAAGAACATCAGATACTCATTTTAGGAGTTTGGGTTGGGTTTTTTCCCCCATTTTTTATTTAAAGTTTTTGAGTTCCAAATTCTACCCCTCCTTCTCTCCTCTCCCCGAGACTGTAAGCATTCAGATATAGGTGTACATGTGCAATTATGTAAAAGTGATGTCATTTTGTACAAGAAGATTTGGATAAAAGAAAAAGAATGAAAAAGTCGGTATTCAATCATCAGTTCTTTCTCTGGAGGCAGATAGTATACTTCATTATTAGTCCTTCGGGATTGATTGTTTTGGATCCTTGTATTGCTGAGAATAGTTATCGTTCATAGTTCTTCATCAAACAATATTACTGTGTACAACGTTCTGGTTCTGTTCACTATGCATCATTTCATGTAAGTTTTTCCAGGTTTTTCTGAAATCTTGCTTGTCATTTCTTACAGCACAATAATATTCCATCACAATCATGTAACACAGCTTATTCAGCCTTTCCCCATTTGATGGACATCCCTTTGATTTCCAATTGTTAGCAACCACAAAAAGAGCTGCTATAAACATTTTTGCACCAGTAGGTCCTTTTCCCTTTTTTTAAATGTCTTTGGGATATAGACCTAGCAGTGTTATTGCTGAATCAAAGGATATTAACAGTTTTATAGCCCTTTGGGCATAGTTCCAAATTGCTCTCCAGAATGATTGGATCTCCAACACAGCTCCACCAACAGTTTGGCTGCCCTTTCTAATACTAATTGCACTTTGACTCACATCTCCTTTGTCACTGGTGCTCTCACTGGTTGTGGTAGGGAAGTCAGAACCTTTTGTCCAGGCGTGGGAAATTTAGAAAAGGTCCCAGACACTATTGGTGGTTCCTCTTTCCCAAGGCACCTTACTGGAGAGGCAGCTGGGCCTTGTCCCTGGTTGTTTCCTCTTTCTATTGTAGTTTCAAAGTCCTGTAGTGCTCCCTGGAGCATTTCCAATCCAGGTGAGCCTGCTCCCTGTCCCCCTGGTACAGACATGGCTTTGGGTTCTTACCCAAAGTCAGTCTGATAGTGAATGGCAGAGCTAGGATTCTGGAACCCAAATCCTCTGATTTCCAAACCAGTACTTTCTCCAAAGATGTTTGGTTCAATTCTTTATTTTCATTTCTGTTGTTTAACTTATAATCATTGCAGAACAATTAGAAACAAACAATTGAATCAGACTAAGTATGGTTATTGGTGTAGATGTTATTTATAGCACTTAATCTGTAGAACCCCAGTAATATTACAGAATATATGGAAGAAAAAGTTAGAACACAATCTAATTAGACTTGTCTAATTCTTTTCTGGCTTCTCTTTTGCACTAATTTAAAGAATTCTAGCTTTTTTTTGTCTCCTTTGCTATTTCTTTTTACTCCTAGCCTCTCAGGGTGACTGTTCCTCCTTGTCTGGTGCAAAGGATCACTCAGAATATGAGGGTTCAAACAAGCAGTGCATTTAATAAGAATATATTTAAATGTACCTATAAAAGCAGTTCCCTCCGAAGTTAAGAAGTGAAAAAGGACAGGAAGTTCCCAGAGATCCCCAACATTGTCTTAAAAACTTTATAGTCTTGCCCAAAAGGTTTACAGCTGAGTTCCAAGGTCAATCTACCTGAGAGCCAAGTTAACCCCACCTGCCTACCTAGTGTGTGCACCACTGCTTCTTTGCTCACAATAACCCCAGCTGTAGTTGGGGAGTGGGGAGGAGAGAGAAAAGAGATTAGAGTTGGCTAACTCATACCTCTCCACTTCCATTAGTATCCTAGTCTGCAACATCAATCACCCTCTGCCCAAAATGTGATATCCACCCCAGCTGTGGACCCAGTTCTCTTTTTCTCTAGACTTTTTCCCTCCGTTGGTAATCTCATCCATTTTGATGTCTGCAGTTATCACTGCTATGCTGTTAACTCCCAAATTTCTATGTTCAGCCCCAATCTCTCGACTGAATTCTAGTCCTATGTTTCCAATTGCCAGCTTTACATATCTACCTAGCTTTTGGACTGATGCTTTAAAGTCATCTTTGCACATTTTTCTCCACCCTCCAGCCCCCCAAATCATTCTTCTTCCTTACTTCCCTATTTATGTTACCTGGACTCAAAATCTCAGGATCACCTCTTAATCTTCCTTCTCCTTGACTCTCTGCATCCAATTAGTTGCCAAGTTATGGCATGATCTACTTCCACAATATTTTTAATATCCCCCTCCTCTCTTCTAATTATACTTCCACCACCCCAATCATTTCTTACTTGTACTATTTAATAGCGTCCTGACTGTATTTCCTACTTCCACTCTCTCCCAGATTCATACAATCCTTCCTTCACCCAGCTTTTCAAATAGTCTTTCTAATGTTTAGGTCTTACTAGGTTCCCCAACTCTATTATTTCCCTCTCTCCACCTCACCCCATATTAAAACAAATCCGCCTTCAGTGGCTTTTCATTGCCTCTAAAATAAACACAATTGTGTCTTTCCAGTCTTATTTTATTCTGCTCACTTTGACATACTCTGTGTTCCTTACAGACTCTAAAAGTAACCAGGTAATGTGATATGGTGGAAAGGATGATGTATTTGGAGTCAGGACATTGGTTCAAATCCTAGATGTGCTAGGATAGTGTAATCTTGGGCAAGTCACAGCCACTCTGGGCTTGAATTTTCTGATACCTAAAAAAAGATTGAACTAGATGGCCTAGGAGGTCTCTTCTAGCTCTCAATCTATTATCTTAAACTATTTCCTACTGCCACCCCACTGTGTCCTGACACTGTGCATTGGTGTAGATCATGCCCCATGCCAGAAATGCCCTCACTCATCGTTTTTTGCCTTTTTCTTTCTTCTAACATCATTCTCCATTCTCTCCTATGTTTTGGTCTCAGAGGACAAATGTGGGTTATTCTTGGGAAGATCAACCTTTTTATGTTTGTCCTTGATCCCAGGCCCTTCTGTCTTTTCAGTCATTCCCCTTTGTTCATCCTCTTTGTCTTTCTAAGCTTCATTTTCATTTTATTCATTGGCTCTTTTCCATAGGCCTACAAAGGTAGTCAGGTATTCCTACCCCTAAAGAAGACTGACTAGATTGTGCCTTCTCTTCAAGCTATTATAATAGGATCAGAGGATCATAAATCTCTTATAGCCAAAATCCTATAAACACCTGCTTCAGATGCTATCTTCGAGGCCCTAGACAAATCATTTACTTTTCTCAGATTCAGTTTTCTTATCTTTAAAATGGCAATAAAAATAGCACCGACCACGCAGGGTTTTATCAGGATCAAATGGCATAGCATGTCAAGCAATTACAGACCTTAAAGCGCTATATCAATGTTATTGTTGTTATTGTAAAAGAAGGCTTTCTCCATTCCTGGCTTCTGCTTCTTCATAGCCCCTATGCCTGGAATTCTCTTTCTTCTTGTCTCTGCCTTCTGGCTTCCCGGCCTGACTTCTTCAAGTTCTACTTTGCAATCTTACCTTCTACAAGAAGCCTTTCCTGATTCCTCTTCACTAATACCTTCGTTTTGTTGATTATCTCCAGTTTGTCCTGTATAAATCTTGTTTGTATGTAGTTGTTCGCACGTTGTCTCTTCCATTAGACTGTGAACTGCTTGAGAGCAGGGATTGGTTTCTCCCTTTTATTGTATCCCTAGTATTTAGCACAGTGCTTGGCACGTATGAGGCATTCAATAAATGCTTGTTGAGTGACTGACACCCTGCTCTTTTCTTAGCTCCTTGTAGTGTGGTTTCAGACCCCACTGCTCAACTGAAAATGCTCTGCTCCACGTTACCATTGGACCTCTTCGTTGCTAAATCTTGGTTTAGTCCTCCTCCTTTTTGAATTCTCTGTAGTGTTTGATACTGTCAACATTCCCCCTGGATCTTTACTTCTTCCTTGGTTTTCAAAACACTGCCCTCTCCTAGATCTTCTCTTAGTGCCTGACCACTCCTCAGACTTCTTCAATTGAGGAACCATCCACATCCTATTGACTAACTGGGGTGAGCCCTCTGCCTGGAGCCATCTTCTCTCCATTGTCTTTTAGTGATCTAATCAGCTGGCGTGGATTAAATTGCCATTTCTACTCAGATGATTCCCAAATCTGTATGTTCACTCCTAATTTCTTTTCAGGGCTGCACATCTCCATTTGAGTTTTCTCTAGGCGTTGCAAACTCAGCATGTCCAAAATAGAAATTATGTCTGCCCAGAAAGCCACTCTTTCTTCCTGACTTTTTTTTTCAATGATGAAACTACCATCCTTCTAGTCTTCCTACTTCCCAGTCTTAGAGTTATCCTTGATTTTTCTCTCTTCTTCATGCCCCTACACCCAGGCTGTGACTCAATCTGGTAGATTTTATGTCCACGATATTGTTCATATCTGTTCCCATCTCTCCACTCCTACAGATGCTGCTACCTTAGCTCAGAACTGCATAGCCACTTGCCTGAACTATTGCAATAGTCTAGTCTGATGGGGTGTGGCCCAAGCCAAGGTCTTTGCCCCTTGTACCAAAGGGAATCTGGCTCCCCTTTGTCTATGGGTCCCAGCCCCTCATCTCCCTTTGAAAGCCTTAGCCTACTTTTTAATCTCAATCAGATACCTTTCAGTTCCTTCATTATCTATTCCCATTGTCTATTCAATCTCTTAGACATTCCAATCTCTGGGAATTCTCACCCAGACCATTTTCCCAGACCCTTTTCCTAGACCCTTCCCTGGTCACCCAAAGTATATAAGATCTACCCAGGCCCACATTTGGGGCTGGGAATCTCA